TAGAAGAGACGAGTTCATCGCGCGAGATACAGTGTATGACCCGCGTCCTCCTCTCACGTCTCGTTTTTTTTTTTTTTTCCAGGCCGGAAATGTCGCTGCAAATTCAACCAGAATCAAAGGTAACGTTATCGGCCCGTTGCTCCGCCCCCTCCGACTTCTATTTTCCATTTCCTCAGGAGCGGAGCCGGCCAGATGTTTATTTATAGAGTCGCCTATCTATACTGTGGGCACGCTTAAGGCTCCCCGTTCACGCCGCTGCACGCGCGTTCTAGTGCTCTGCGACGTGTTTCAACGTATGGCATTATTTCCTTTTTTTTTTAAAAACATTAAAAAAAACTTTATTAAATTAAAGAAAACGGAACATTTTTGTGCATAGCCTTGTCTGCCCTCCAGCTCGGCTTGAACTACAAAATCCCATCATGCCTCTGCCTCCAGGAGTAATGCCTGTGGCTGTCAGAATCTTGCAATGCCTCATGGGACTTGTAGTTCCACAACCGCTGCAGAGAAATCGTTGTACAAGCGGTGAATTCTGATCTCTGCTATACAGATCTCAGGCTCACCATCCCATTCATTCATTCTTCCCTCCTACCCTAGAACCGGGGAGCCCATTGAAGAGGAGGGATCGTTCCGCGCCTCCATCAGACGTACGTATAGGCGGGATGAGGTCATGTGACCCATAACGGGTCTATATGAAGGTTCACCGACATATCATGAGGTTATAAGTGCACACAGGAAGGGATGTGATGCATTCAATGATAGCAGAAACAGAGGGAGACATGGGAAGGGAAGGAGTAAGGGAAAGGAAAGAGCAGCAGAATGGGCAAGTGGAAGAGAAAGGAAAGGGCAAAGGGTAAGAGAATAGGAAGGGGCAGGAGAGAGGGGGATGGGGAAAGGAAAGGGCAGGAGAAAAGGGAATGGGGAAAGGAAATGGCAGGAGAAAGGGCAATGGGGAAAGGAAAGGGCAATGGGGAAAGGAAAGGGCAGGAGAAAAGGGAATGGGGAAAGGAAACTGCAGGAGAAAGGGGAATGGGGAAAGGAAAGGGCAATGGGGAAAGGATAGGGCAGGAGAAAAGGGAATGGGGAAAGGAAAGGGCAGGAGAAAGGGGAATGGGGAAAGAAAAGGGCAGGGGAATGGGGGAAGGAAAGGGCAGGAGAAAGGGCAATGGGTAAAGGAAAGGGCAGGAGAAAGGGCAATGGGTGAAGGGGAAATGGAAAGAGCATGGGGTAAGATAATAGGAAGGGGCAGGAGAAAGGGAAACATGAAAGGCAAGAGGAAAGGAAAATAATAAGGGGGAAGGGCAGGGAAATGGAAATACAGAGGGAAAGGCAAAGCAGAAAACAGACAGGGTGGGGGATCCAGAGTGTCACCATTTGTGCAATGTTGTCACATATTTGGCTCTGATGCTTCCCATGTGACTTCCCTTTCAGGTATGTCCAGCAGGAGGGTATAGCTCTGAATAGACGGAGAGGTGAGATTTATGATGTGTATGCTGTTGCCTAGGACCGCCCCCACTTCTCCAGACCGACACCCACCCATCAAGGCATGATCTACCTGTCAGCCCCTCCCACAAGCCATGATCTGTCAGCCCCTCCCACAAGCCATGACCTGCCTGTTAGCCCCTCCCACCAGCTATGATCTGTCTGTCAGCCCCTCCCACAAGCCATGACCTGCTTGCATTGCACAGGGACATGAGGGAGGGACCAGGCAAGGCAGCCCGGTGACTGAACTATGTCTCTCTCTATGTATATTTTCTTTTGACAGCTGCGGTCTCCCCGGGGCCCCAGGACCCGAATT